CCTCAATCTTTACTTTACTTTACTTTACTTTACTTTACTTTAATGCAATTTGTATGCCGCCCACTCCCATTGTGACTCTGGGCGGCTCACAGTAAAATAAAAGCTTTTAAATTTTTTAAAAAGATACAGTATATAAAATTAATACATCATTCATTCAGTCAAGTGGGGCTGGATATTAATCAACAGCCCCAGGCCTGCCGGAACAGCCAGGTCTTGATCGCTTTACGGAAGGCCGGGAGAGTGGTTAAGGGTCCGGATCTCTGCGGGTAGATCGTTCCACAGGGCCGGTGCAGCTACAGAGAAGGCCCTCCCTCGGGGGGCCACCAGCCAGCAAGAAAGAAAAGCACCTTTGGGATATCCTTCCCAGAATTTCTTACCACTGGCCATGCCGGCTGGAAGCTAAACCACGATCTGCTTAGCAGCTATTATCATTTTTTTTAAATTTTCCCTGTTCTCTGCTGTTTTTTCTTTCTTTTTTCTACTTTTCTCTGCATATGTAACGCGGAATGAAACTTAAATAAAAATGCCTTGTGTTGTTGTTTTTTTTAAAAAAGGGACAACTGTCAAGACGAAGTGAAAACAGTGTTCCTCTAAACCTCGCCAGCCGCTCTTCTGGTTTCCGGCGTCGCGCCTGCACGCCAGCCAGCTGGTCTTCACACATGCACCAGAGTGCCAGAAACCTGAAGGCCAACTGGCTGGTGCATATGCGCGCACCGGGGAGCTGGTCTTCGGGGTTTCCAGTGCTCCAGCCTGCACATGAACGCATGTTCCAGTTTTGGGCGCTGCCGAAAAGTTTCACCATCCCTGCTCTAAACCACAACTTTTCTTTTAATTGGATGCTGCTTTGACTTGGGTGCTGTCCACAGGGCCACGCCTGGAGTTGCCATGAGTTCCACCTTAGCTATGTCCCTCGCTCAGCACAATGGCTTGCGAGGACGTCTGGACGCTGACCCTAATTAGTAGGGATATTCAATTGGGAGGCTGGATGGAAACCTCAACCTGCTTTGATCCTTGACGGCTTGCTTTGCAAAATTCCTCAGATGAAGAAGAAGAAGAAGGCGGAGGAATTAAGCCGGGAATGTG